GGGCTCTCCTCTTGTTTTCGATGATGAGGTGGAAGGCATGTGCGTTGCTTTTCACTCTTGCCAAGATTAAGCAGTGATTTACCTAGAAGTATTGGAGCTCTGTTCAAGCAAGGAAGCTAGCTAGCTCCCTTTTCCTACCACCAACAAGCAAGAGCTATCTTTTGTTTTAGAGCATGGGGTTGAGGAGTTCTCTTTGTGAAACTTGAAGAAAGGATCAGACTTCTTTGTTTGAAGATTTGGGGGGGTTCCACCATTTCTTCTTGAGCATAAGCTCTCTTCCATTTTCTGAAGAGGATCATTTCCCCTGCCAAAAGAGAAAGGAGGTCTCTAGTTGCCGCCTGGGGGGTAAACTGAGCTTTCTTCTTTCTCGTGAAGCTGAAGGGGCTTGTCTGCCATTTTGAGATGGGGCGCTCTTCTTTCTCAATACATTGGAGGAAGCTCTCTTCCTGTCGAGAAGTTGAAAAGTGAAGTCTGGTCTTCCCCGCCCACTTTCAAAGGGACATGGGAAGGCCTCTACTTCATCCTCTGAAACGAGAACCGAGCTCAATCCAAGTTATTCTTCGTAGGAGAAGAGAGCTTCTTTTTTGGAAGGGAGCTCCTGTACCTCTTGGCAAGACTTCATCCTAATCGTTAGAAGACTGAAGAGACCGCGTTCGTAGTCAATATGGACAGAGCTCTCCCAGTCTTCAATCAAAATCAACGTCTGATTTCCCTACCTCATGGAGGAGGTCCATCCTTTCTTCTTGATCGGAAGCTCCCTTCCATCTTTGAGGACAAAGGGAGATGGTCAAGAGCTCTCGCGCCCGACTAAGGGAGAAAGGAGTCTTCTTCTGGTCCACAGAAAGATATTTCTCGAGAAGTTAGAGGGACCTCTCTTCTGAGTTGTTGGGGTAGAGGACCTGTCAGGGGATCTATTATCTACCAAGTGTTAAAGGAGCCTTCTTCCTTCTCGTGAAATTGGAGGGAACTGTCTTCCTGTTTTCGATGATTAGGGAGAGAACTCATACATTGTCGGGGGGGCTCTGTCCTCTTTGGCTACGAGTGAGATCTTTGTGCTTTTCTTTCAAGAATGAGAAGCAACGTTCCAAAAGGCAATGGCGCTTTCTTTCTAGAAAGAAGCTCTCTTCTCTTACCACGAACAACTTGGGAGAGCTATCTTCTGGTTTTAGAGCATGGGTTGGAGGAGCTCTCGCTTTGAAGCTTGAGGGGAGAACCAAGCTTGTTTGTTTGAAGGTTTTGGGGGGAGGGGCTTCACCGTTTCTTCTTGAGCTCAAGCTCTCTTCCTTTTTTTGAAGAGGAAGAGGAGATAAAACACAAGCTTTCTTACCTCCCTTGCCTGGAAGAAAGGAGATCTCTTCTTGCCGACTGGGTGGTAGACAGAGCTCTCTTATTTCTCGATATCTTGGAGGGCCCTGTCAGTCCAATACTGAAACGGAGATCTCTTGAAATTGGATTCGAAGAAGCTCCCAGTCTCTTCTTGTCGAGGATGATGTAAGAGGGCCACTCTGTTTGGAAGCTAAGGAGGCGCTGCCATCTCTTGCCAGGGGATCTCTTCTTCTAACGAGAGGTAAAGGAGCTCTCTTCTCGCCGATCAAACCGAAGAGGAGCTCTGGTATTCGCGTTAAATTGCAGGGGGCTCTCCTCTTGTTTTCGATGATGAGGTGGAAGGCATGTGCGTTGCTTTTCACTCTTGCCAAGATTAAGCAGTGATTTACCTAGAAGTATTGGAGCTCTGTTCAAGCAAGGAAGCTAGCTAGCTCCCTTTTCCTACCACCAACAAGCAAGAGCTATCTTTTGTTTTAGAGCATGGGGTTGAGGAGTTCTCTTTGTGAAACTTGAAGAAAGGATCAGACTTCTTTGTTTGAAGATTTGGGGGGGTTCCACCATTTCTTCTTGAGCATAAGCTCTCTTCCGTTTTCTGAAGAGGATCATTTCCCCTGCCAAAAGAGAAAGGAGGTCTCTAGTTGCCGCCTGGGGGGTAAACTGAGCTCTCTTCTTTCTCGTGAAGCTGAAGGGGCTTGTCTGCCATTTTGAGATGGGGCGCTTTTTCTTTCTCGATACATTGGAGGAAGCTCTCTTCCTGTCGAGAAGTTGAAAAGTAAAGTCTGGTCTTCCCCGCCCACTTTCAAAGGGACATGGGAAGCCCTCGAAGCTCTGTTCAAGCAAGGAAGCTAGCTAGCTCCCTTTTCCTGCCACCAACAAGCAAGAGCTATCTTTTGTTTTAGAGCATGGGGTTGAAGAGCTCTCTTTGTGAAACTTGAAGAAAGGATCAGACTCCTTTGTTTGAAGATTTGGGGGGGCTCCAGCATTTCTTCTTGAGCATAACCTCTCTTCCATTTTCAGACGAGGATCATTTCCCCTGCCAAGGGAGAAAGGAGGTCTCTAGTTGTCGCCTGGGGGGGTAAACGGAGCTCTCTTCTTTCTCGTGAAGCTGGAGGGGCTTGTCTGCCATTGTGAGATGGGGCGCTCTTCTTTCTCAATACATTGGAGGGAGCTCTCTTCCTGTCGAGGATGAAGTAGGGAACTCAGACGTTGCTTTTGATTGAAGACTGAGGGAGCTCTGTCCATATTGACGACGAGCGTGCTCTCTTCAGTCGAGTCTTCTTATGATTAGGATGAAGTCTTGCCAAGATGTGCAGGAGCTCCCTTCCAAAAAAAGAAGCTCTCTTCTCCTACCTAAAAATAACTTGGAGTGAGCCCTGTTCTTGCTCCAGAGGATGAGGTAGAGGGCTTCTCATTTCCCGTTGAAAGGGTTAAATAGCGGGTAAAGCACCTTGTCTTCCGAGGTGTCCGGTGCGTTCTCGACTGCCTGTGAAAAGCCGAAGGACAGACTTATTCACACCCCTGGTCGTACCCCCAACTGTATCAGGTCTCCAAGGTTTGTGGCCTCTGGTCGATAGAGCAAAGTAGGTAAGGGAAGTCGGCAAAAAGCTTACAAAAAAGGGGACGCACCTCCCCAACTGGAAACTGAATGCCTTTATGATGAAAGTTGAAAAGCTCTGAAAAAACTGTATTTGATGCACGTCTTGTTCATGGTGCGATGTTATTGAAAGCAAGCCAAAACGGCATAAAAGGGGGGTTGGGTGGGCGCGAGGGCTAAGCCTCCTGAGTGAGACCCGATCTTCCGGTCGTGTGGAGACCATGAGCAGTTACCTTTATCGGAACCGTCAACACAGGCGCCTCAGTCTCCTTAGTCATCACATGCTGGCTCGAACTCGGTGCTTGCGGTGCCTCCGAAGTTGTTGCACGTGCCATGCTCATCGACCCTCCGTGGTGGTGTCCCATCAGGCAGCTGTTCCGGTCGTTTGGAGACCATGAGCAGTCAGTGGCGTGGGAACAGTCAACAGAGGCGCCTCAGTCTCCTCAGCCATCACATGCTGGCTCGAACTCGATGCTTGCGGTGCCTCCGAACTTGTGCACATGCCATGCTCATCCACCTTCAGTGGTGCTGTCCCATCAGGCAGCCGTCGATGAGGAACACTAATCATACTGTTGCAGTGTGTAGACGGTGTTTAGTATTTACACAAAGAGCGAGCGACACATTATACATAAAGGTTCCTGCCTCATATATATATATATATATATATATATATATATATATATATTTATTTATTTAAACATATACATATACAGTCATATACACATACATGTGATTTATGTGTGTGTTTATGTGCCAGTATGTACATACAAACAAATAAGGTATAAATATATACACAATATATTTATGTACATATATATATATATACACACATATACACATGTGAGTACATACACATACAAAAAGAAAGAGATAGAGAGAGGGTAAGCACGTAGGTGCTTGCGAGCATAAGTACTGCATCAGCAATCAGTACATGCGCAAGGAGGGAAGGGGAAAACCTGCAGCCTTTGCTTGGCGGCTGTCAAGTTGCGCTTGATCCTGGCCGGAGAGTACCAGCACTATTGCCGCACTGAAACTGCATCATGGGACCGGAGTTTCGCGCCTTGCTGTTCAAGCTGCTCGCGCTGCCTTGCCGACCCAAAAGCATGCCCCAGAATCCTCTCTGCTTCTTGAGGGATCGCGTGCTGGAGCGTGACCGACCTGAGCAGGTAGAGTCAGCCAGAGCATCACTTTCTCACATCCACCAAACACCTCATGCCACTGTTGATTTATTGCTGGCACGAGGCGGCTCAGGCCTGATCCTTGCGAACCCCTCAGCACAGGTCACATCCGGAACCATGTGGCACCACTGAAGCCGAGCAGCTCCATCTCATGCTGAACAAGCTGGCCATGTTTATTGCTGGCAAGTTGCAACGACTGCCTGCTTGTACCTTATGCTTGCGACAGCCTGTGAATGCCTCTTCATTCCTTGCCAGAGCACAGACACGCTGTCGAGCAGCGACGCGATGACGACAAGGCCCTTGGCGATGCATGAGGTGACCGCGAGGACTCGGGTTCCTCGAGAGCGCCCGGGCCAACCTGAGTCGGAAGCCACGGCGACCTTGCAAGGCTGCTGCCCGGTACCCTCTGCCAAAAGTCAGGTGACGATCGCTCCACGACGTTGGAAGCCAAAGCCGAGCAAGCCACTCCCTCGCGACTCGGAAGCATTTCACGGCGTTCAAGCGTGCTCTCACAAGATGAACAGGGTGAACCAGAAAAGATGTTGCAAGAAGCGTGAGATGGCGTATCACTGACTTAATGCATCCGAGGCTGCCAGGCCTCGGCCCTTTCTGGAAGAGCCTCCAGCAGACACAACCGCACCGGAGAGTGAATCGCTGCAGCCACTGCTTATGGCTTATGTTCAAGCTGAGCTTCGGCGAGAGGCCCTCCTGCCGGCATGCCACACACATCCCAAGGCAAAGACAGCACTTAAGTCACTCCTCGAACGTCTCTTCTTCCTGGCTCCAAACTGCCCTTCAGAAGGGTCGCCGATGCCCCAAGCTTCTTGTCGTTTTGATAATCGCTGCGGTGATGATTTTGGGCTGTGGTTCTCCTGCAGCACGGATGATAATTGGAACCGCAATCAGGGGGAAGGCTTCAGCTCCACCAGCTCCTGAGAGGACACTTGGAAATGAAGGACCTCGTCCTCGCTTTTGAACATCAACCGTGCCTGTGCTTGCCAGGAGCTGGTTCTCGTGCAACGAGAATCACAGAGGCCACATAACGCGCATAACGCGCTGAACGCTGACACCCCGCCCCCCTCCCGCCCGCACTCCTGCAGAGTACTTACGCTCTCTCCAGTCGGAAGGAAGTCTAGTACCAATGCGTGGTGAGGATGCTACTGACAAGACACGCTGTAGACACACCGGCACACAGCGGCCAAGCCGCTCGCAGCGTTTGCGCAGACCGTGGAGGCGTCTTAGGAGGCGTCCTGGGAGGTGTTCTGGGTGGTGTACGCGACGATGAGCGAGTTGGCGTTGGCGTTCGAGATCGTGGAATGGTCTGTTGTGCAGCTTCCGCCGGTGATGTGACCTGAGCATGATTTGGTGGACTAGCCACCGGTTGTGGCGCAGAAAAATGACTAAGGCATGCCAATGCTCATGCTTCCAACACAGCTCAGCAACCTCCTTCGTCTCGTTAGGTGCCTCTCCCAAATGCTCAGCTCACCCAGACTCACACGACTCACACGAAGAGTGCAAAGGAAGCTTTTGAAGTGTGGAGCGAGGAAGATGCACAAATGCGCCTCGGCAGTGAAGGGCCTCGAGCTGACCGAGTCAGTTCCGAAGTCCGAGACAGCATCCATTGGGTACAAATCGAAGTCTTCCATGCCCTCGGGCGGGACGGCGGAAGACTACAAGACAAAGCAGTGATCTCTCTTGCCGTGGCTCAAGCCTTCTGCGCGGGAACCTGGCCGCCGTGGCCATGGCCAGCTTCCTCATCGACTTCTTCGTCGTCGTCGTAGTCCTCGTACTCCCCCGAAGGACAACATATGCAGCAGATGGTGCAGCAGCAGGATCGAATCCGACTCCTGAGCCATGGCACAACAATGCACAGCATCGCTGACCGCGGGATCCACACTTAGCCATGTTTGTGTAAGCGACTTGGGCCGCTACAATCTAGGCCGCTAGGCCCGGCTCAAACACCTGTGAGATTGCAAACGAAGGAGCAGTGTCGTCCAGATGCAGCCCATCAGACGAAGGACAGGTCGACAGATACATCGAATAAACTTCAGAAGCTGCCGCACGAAGTGCCTTGCGGCGGCGGCGGATGCTTTGGGCACAGTTGCGATCCCTCGAGGGCTCTGCTGAGTTTGTGCAGCAGAGCTACGTCTTCCAAACGGCTGCCTTTGTACCGATGACTGAACACAGCCTAAGTCACTGGCAGGCTTACTCAACAGGTGCCGATAAGGGCGAGACTGTACTCAGCATCGCGCATCGGGAAGCCAATGACAAGCCAGAACTGGAGCACAAAAGCACTCCCGAACACGTTCAGGATCATGTCCCACGACGGATCAGCCGACTCTTGCGCGACTGAGAAGAGGACGAAGCCTGAAAGCATCGGCAACAAGACATAGAGCCCGACAGCACAGGTAAGTCATGCGCCATGGGCATCCCGACATGCCCGCCGGACCCCTCCCCTGTTTGTCGCAACACAACTCTGATGCCCAAGCTGCACAAGAAGACAAGATTGGCAATGAACGACACGCGGCATGTGATAGTGTACCTCAGATCAAGGGATGCCGATCCTTCTCAAGTCTCACGCTGCTTCAAGTTCACAGTCTCCACACAGCGCTAAGCAGCCCCCTTGAAGCTTTCTTCATTATCGTCTCCTCGGTCAGAGTCGTATGTGGAAAGGCAGCAGCAACATGTGTCGTTTTTTCGGCTGTCAAGCTTCCTTGGCCATCATATCTGCAACCTGGTTGAAGAGGAAAATGAATTGCGTGATGTCCAGATATCCGTCATCCGCCGAGTCCTGGCCGGGCGCCAGGGCTCCCCGTGGGAGAGGAGATTCTCCCTTTGCCTGTTCTCGATGGAACCACCAAAGGAGCTTTTCGGCTGCAGACCCTTCCATGAAGATGCCGCACACCTTCAACGCCTCGCGAGTGCAACCCGTGCATTCTGGTTTCGGGGCTCCGGAACACCTGCTGAGCTTGGGGCTGCAAGCAACTCCCGCGTTGTAATGCGATTTCGCAAGGTGACGTCGATTTCCTGGAAGTGATGCCACCGAGCACAGGGTTGGCGGCAGGGCATTAGTTCCAAGACGGTCGAGTCAGAAAATCCAAGCTGCTTGAAATGCCTCTTGCAGCATAGGCACCTTGGCCACATTGTGCTAAACACTTGTCACCATTGAGATGCTCGACTTCCGGCAAGCTAGAACGTATAGTTACTGAGAAATGCAGAACATTGCACAACACTTGGCACGAACCGGAGATTCGGTCCAACACAGTCCCAAGCACGGGAACTCTGCTCGCTCCGCGCCCCTTTCGGGCCTCTTCGGCCATCATTTGAAGCACCTGTGTGGAGTTGGCGGGGCGGCTGCAACGTGGTCTGCAGTCCCACAGCTGGCCCGGCAAGTCTGTTTGTGAACAGGGATTTACTCGGGGGTTGAAGGGTTGCTTCAGACTTTCTCCAAGACCACAGGAAGGCCCAGGCCTTCTTGAGCGCTTCTTGCGGACTTCGTCGGATGCGAAGCTCAATCGTGGCTCGTTTCAGCTCGTCCTCTCTTGGCAGGGTCATCGGTTGAAAGGCTTTGTCTGGAAAAGGGGAGCAAACACGGTCTGCGAAATTGAGTCCTCTGTCAACATGGCTCGTCGTGCTTTGCCCGTCTTCATTCGAAGCCGCTCTTCAATGATCCATTCCTCATAGCTGAGGTCCTCGTACGAAGATCTCAAGCCGACCGAAAGACTCCGCAACACATGCCCTCAGGCCTCCATGTCGCACTCTTCCAGGATATGCATGCTCACTCTGTACCTGTCCTGCCGGACACACATGGGCCACGTGGAGGCGTCAGCTGCCCATCATTCCCCAACACATGCCCAATAGTAATTACAGTTTACGCGCACTCCTAAGCCTCCCTTCTAATCCACCACCACGAACTGTCCAGTCGCGGGATATCGTGCAAGTTGTCAACGCACTCCACCAACGCTTGCTGTATCCGAGCTCGCTCCTGCGAACGCTCCAACGAACATCACAACATCAGAGTCATCTAACAACAAGCTACGAAAGTCAGGAGCTTCCCGATCGAATGGTTCAGAACTGCAACTCGACTGCGGCTCTTGAGGTATTCAGCCAGCCGTGGGGCTGACAAAGTGACCGAGCGAAACGGAAGCTTTGGAGGCTCTGGATTCATCTAGTAGACATCGTTTCGTAAATTGGGTTGGTTGTGCGATTTGTCGCAATCAGTATCCGTCGCCATGCATATCGCCGCTATATCGCCGCTGCAGTGAGCACCCGCGTGACACCGCCGTGTCGACAAGGTTGTACCCAAGCTGGCAATATGATTATGGACATTTCCACCTGCTCTATGGGAAGTCGCCACTTGCTTGAGTCGCCATGGAATGATTCGGTGGCCGAGCTAGTCGAGCTCAGGACTTGTGCCAACTTCGCAAATAAAGACGCATACGGGCTCATCAGAACACTTGGGAGCCACCAGCCTCTTCCTCGGTAAGCCCCTCCATCTCGTCCTGACCATGCAATGCGAACCGCGCCACGAAGCAAACCAAGGCTCAAGATTCCTTGCACGAGGCAGCCAAAATCTTGTTCCTCGCTTGCACTCTCGCTCCTTCCAGTTGGGCCTCTCGTCCTGCAGTCTGGTTGGCGTTGCTTTCGAGGCTTGGTACAGCACCATCGTCGTCTGGGCGGGCAGGTGTGCATGCAGAAAAAACCTGGTATGGTCCTTTCTGACTACGCCATGATCCAATTAAGCACTCCACTCCCAGGAATGCGGCTGAGACCGAGCCAGACAGAAAATAGAGACCTGGATGCCAGGACAGCCAGCTGCTGCGATCTGCGTTTGCCCGGTCTCCAGGACATGTCCAGGCGCTGCCACGGCACCGGGGGCAGTGCCCAGACCTCGGGGCTCCATGACCAGTAGTGCCCCGAGCGCCTCGGTGACAACACCAATGACAATGGGAACACATCTTCTCCGATTGTCTCCAGCCAAGCTGCCAGCAGCAACGACGAAGCGCTACACAGAGCCAGGAAGCCCCCAAGCAGGAGGAGCAGGATCGATTGGAGACTGAGTCGTGGGGTCGAGACAGGGAGAGAACCGCCACTGGCATCAATGAATTTAGGCTTGGTGAACTTCATTTTTCAAGCCGGGTTTCCATCCTGCCAGGAAGATCAGAAGGTCCGCTCCGAGGATAGTTAGAACTCCCAGCACCCCGAGCCAGCCCGCCGCTGTGACCTTACGTGATAGAAAAGCGTTGGACAAAATCTGCGCAAAGCCTAGCGGACTCAGCGGACATCTGCGCATCGCACCCAGAAGCAAATCTCCTCATTGGGCTCCAGGGGATCTGGAACAAGACCAGGAATGCCCTCAATGAGGGCAGCCACTACCGCAGCTGCTTCGCCAGAACCTTCTCGAACTTTGACAAAAGCAGTGTGGCTTAAGATAACTCATGCACATAAGACCAGCTGGCCTGCCGAGTAATCTGGGCTGCAGAAGTGCTGCCAGGAAAAGCCTCTTACCTCACACCCACAGCATCCACAGCTCTACAGCAGTTGCAGAAGGAATCTTCCCTACAAACCCAGGCTGTGTCCGCAGCATCGTCTCGCTCTTGCGCAACATGTTGCTTTCAGTTCAATTTGTTGCCACCGGCAGCCTTATCCAGAAGGGGAGTCCGGAAACTTTTTGCAACAGTTACATGTACGGCGTCCTCTTTCGTGCCAACGGAGACACAGCAATTCGACACTAGGGAGGACGGATCGGATTTGGCGGCCACCCTCTTAACCGCTTTCGCAAACCTAATGGCCTAAAGTCTTTGTCAGTCTTTGGCGACCCATTGATATTCGATACATGACACCCCTTCCAATCCCACACCCCGGATTTCGAGCATCGGGCTCGCGCGCTCCATGCTCGCACCCACACCGACCGCAGCGCAGGACTGGTAGATATGTAGGTGAGGCCAAAGAGAAGAAAGGAAGAAACGCACATGTGAGAAAAAGCTTCCTTGGAATCCGGCAGGACGGAGACCTGAGACATGCCTCGAACACGCAGGCAGAAAGTTGTCTAAACTGAAACCTCAAACACCTCCAGTCTGGCGGGCCGGTCGTTTAGTGCAGTTTGGTCAGTGTGGCAAGGAACTCTCGCTTCATGCGACCCCACAGAATCGAGAGATCTTCGGGCCGGTCCTCACGAAAGCTCTCTCAGAAGAGCGTGATTGTTCAGGGCCCCGGGCGGATTTTGTGTGAAAACTCTGCCCTCCCGGCCGTGCCCATGAAGCTCCGGATGGATGAGTACGGCGTCGTTTCTGGCTTTGTCGTGACCAACCCGAGTCGACAAACCCACTGCCTGGGAGCCACCAAACGACAAGAAAACTGAGATCACGCTTTCAAGAGAGTGGACACATTTATTTGAGACCAGATCAAACACACCCCTCTTGGGAGGGCATCCCCGCGAAAGCTCGAAGCCGGTTAATTTGCAATGTCCTTTTGCATCTTTCTCCATGACATAGCAGCATACCGGCACTTGGCACGCTGGCTATCACGGATTCAGAACACGGAGATTGGGAAGGCTGTCATTCTACCCGACACAGCTGGCTCCTCAGAAGGATATTGTCTGTGCCTCACTGACGTGGCCGCTAGGTACTTCTTAGCACTCGGGCACCCCGTGCCGCTGGCTTTTCAGAATTCAACCTTCCAGCTGCTGTAGCATGTTCAGCCCTCCAGACAGCATGCCGAAATTTCCGGCTCCTGACACCAACACTGAAGCGCGCAAAGGGTAAGAATAGTCTTGGTGTCGCTGGCCACTTGCGGGTTGAGTGCTGCCGCGCTTTGGAGCCCGCTCGCAGATTGACAAACTCGACTCTTCAGTTTCAGGTTGTTTCATCCCAAGGCGCGTTGGCCGCAGAGGCTGCCCATTCCGCTCGAAAAAAATGGAAATGGAACAAGGTGGCCGTCCTCAGCATCAACAGTCATCAACACATCATAGCAGGATTCACACTTTGGCGGAAGTAGCCTGGCCATACTTTTAGTCCCAGCTGCACATGTGGTGCGGGGAGTCCTGGCAGTGGTTTCCAGCGAAGAAGCTGGTCCGAGGGAAGGCGATCCCACAAAGGCACGAAAAGCAGTGGCACAGCGCTGGCCTGGCAGCTGGCACAGCATCTCAGCACAACATGCCACAACTGCCGTGCCGACTTACTCTTGCTTGGACGGTTTTGGCTCAGGCGCCACGGACACGAACAGCAGCAGCCCGCCGAACCAGCCACCGCATCTTATCCTTCAAAGCATCACGTCCGCATGACAGAGCACTACGTCATTGCGTGCCCCTGTTGCTCACCTGCCTGCTGTTGTCAAACCCTCGCTTTGCAAAGCGCGAGTCGGGGTCCATGACTGCTGGCCATAGCGACTCTAAGCGACCCAAGCCAAGGTTAGGCGGCCATGCTACGACGGATATGTAGTAGCCAACTCCTCCCCGAATTCTAGCTCCAGTTATGGCTAGACCGGCACCCAGAAAACACCTTTGATGACATGAGGGCCATACATCGAGCCGAGATGTACGCAAGCAAATCGAGTAAGACAATGCAGGCCATCCAAAATCGAGCTTGCAAAGCCTGGCTCCGTTGCAGGTACGAACACGGCTGATGCCACAGAAGCCGCAAGAGAAAATGTACAACTTCAAACTACTGCTCCGAAAGCTGACCTGGTGTCCTACTGGCACATGTCGGATGGACACGCCATCGGCCCCCAGATCCATCATCCGCTTCAGCCTAAGCTGGAGCCAGGCGGGCTGCGCTCACACACGCGGCTGGGCGAGATAAGCTCAGTGGGAGGACGAGGCCACCTCTTCCCGAAGTATCTGGCACTGGCGCTCCTTCTTTGCTAGCCTCGGGTGGCTCAGTTCCGTCTGACTCCTAGCGCTCGCTGCGATTTCGAAACCTGCAGACTCAGGGCCACATCGCCGCTTGCCACTTGTGCAGTCACGTATCCGGCATGCTGTTTTCCTAAGCCGTACGCTTCCGATTGGAGACACCTTCAGTCTGTACCCTGCTGAGGGTGGAAGGACGAGAGAGATGCTGCAGAGCCTGCGACTTGGACCCGCGGTACATCGCGTGCCCTGTGTTTCCATGGAAATGTAAGCATGGTCCTGCTACGTGCTTTGCATCTCCTTCAGCTATCTACGAAGAAACCACATCTCGGATGCGGTTTCCCGGGTATGCCCCACAACACCTTTCAGTGTGGCTGTGGGTGAGGTTGACTGCATACCGTGGTGGCAATCAAACCAGCGATACCTGGGACGTCATAAACAGAGACTAACCGGCAGCAAAAACTTTCAGCCTTCAGCCATTCCTAAGCGGGATCTCCAGCGCTGATGGGACTGCACATTCCGCGACTGTTCGATATAAAGTCTCAGAGACAGCCCGTTCTCAGGCGTCGCATGTGATCGAACACAGCCTGTCAGGGCGAAGCATGTCAAAGCAAACATGAACACGAAAGCCATCAGATGCCATCAGGTAGGGAGACCTGTGCCACCTCACTTTCAACACTCCAAAACTCCCAAAACCTGACCTGCGGCGGCGTTCCCCCTGGCGCTAAAAGCGGCCGACACTCTGGATCACCGTTGACAGTCCTGCCACAGCTCTGCATCATGCACGGCGCTCGGAAGCTTCGAACCAAGCGTACCCGTGCCTACATCCGGGCAGACTGCGATCAAGAGTGTAGGCGGCCTGTCCTGGAGCCACCGAGGTATGCTGGGATTATGGAATCGTCCATATGCTGTCGGAGCACCTGCCCACGGGACAAAGCTCCCAATGAACAGTCTTTGAGTAAGCAGGTTAGCTGGCTTCAAGTGCCGTGCCGGCAGCAAGACCATGCCTTGAGTGAATCCTCAACACTGACGATCTGGACAATCGTGGCTGTGTGTGGGCTGACCTGGATCAGGAATCCAGCACTTGTCAGAAAGTCTTTGTTGAAAGGCTGATCGGCGACCGAGAGGCTAGGAGATGCTTCAGCGTGTTCCACACAGCCGAAAAAGCGGCCGGCGCATTGATAATGAGCACCTAACAGAAAGCCGACAAGGGAGACTCAATTATGCAAAGCGGTGCATGCCGAGCAGCTCGGCGCCCCGATCGGGGCACCAAGTGCATCCTCGATTTCAGGATCATCCCCAAAGCTTTCAGCGTGCGCGGGCTGAAGTTGCGCCAACCTTGCAAGCTCAACCCTCACAGCCATACTTCTGAGATGCTTTGCCCAGCAATATCTAGCCCAGGCAGCTGATTCCTTGCAGGTCTTCCACCAGCGTAGCATCGACGAAGGGTACGTTTCTGCGAATACTGTCCTGCCAAGAGGGCCCTTGGCGATTCAATATCCAGGCATATCTCTAAGCGGCGGCGAGGAACTGGCGCACTGCTTCACCCCGCGCGGCGGCATTGTATGTCATCGTGCCGTCTGCTGCGAATGCCCTTTTCCGTGTCGATGCACGGTTGCTGCTGCAGTCATCCCTGAAGAAGCACACGAGTCGTTGGTCTGTGTGCTGTCAATGGACAAAACACGTGCGAAGGACGGAAGAGACGACAGCGACATGCGGTCCATGATTCATTTACAGCTGCGACAAGGGCAGGAAAAAAGCTTCCTCCTCGACGCCAGCCAGAGTACGCACGCAGTGCACAATGTCTATCTTCCTCGGATGGGCCACATAAATTACACAGGTGCCGCAGCAGATCAATGTGAACTCAATAGCTGTCTAAGCCGACGTCTGCAGAAGGTCATGCGGGACATTGTCGTGGAGAGACGTCCAGTCAGCGCGTCCAATACGCTCCTCGCAAGAAACTGAAAGAGTGCGGGGCGGGGCTGGGCACCGGAGCATGTCGGGAAGCTCTGAGCACTCCGAGGCTCCAGAGCCACAGGCTCCCCGTCGAAGCCAATTCCTGCATGTGCGCGGCGCGCCGACGAAACACCGCAACTGCGTGGGTGGGGTTGGGGGGGTGATTCTCGCGCCTAAGAATCCACCAGTCGGCCACCAGGGCGCAAGGCAGCGCTCGCAGAGCTCCAGATTCCAGTGGGTCAGTGCTCTTGCCACGTCGTTCTCCAGTTGCCACTGCACCTGAAGTTAAGTTGCTCTTGCACAATTAATCTCCGAAGAACCTGCCTGCACTTGTCCGGAACCCTGCATGCAGCCAAACCACCGCTTTCCTAAAGCAGTCTTCTGCCTTTTCCACACTGCCGCCTTCCCGCAAAAAACCTCGGAAGGCTTCGTACGGACTCCGTTGTGCTCACAACGGCACCCCGGCCAGAACAGCCCTTCGCTACCGAGCATCGGAGGAGTGTGCAGAAGTCTGACCGAAGCGCCGTGGAACCAAGGTCCGACACGCGCCGGGACAGAGCCTGAACTCCTGAGTACGGGGCTCTGCACAAAGCGCCAGATCTGCCCAACAGCGCCCCGGCCTGCCCGCTCTTCAGAATCGACTTCTGGCAGGGGAAGAGCACGGAGTGTCTTTTGAGCCTCTCATACACGTGGCATTGAGCAGGAAGTCCAGGACCATCGTTCAATCATGTCTTCGTGCGATGACAAGATAGAAAGATCTGGAGAAGAACCTACTTGTCGGCATCGACGAAAGGGGATGTAGTTGTGCATCACCAGACACGATGGTCTAAGGTCCACGGTCTAGTGCGATTTGGGGACAGAGCGTCCATGACCAACACCTGGTGACGTCCATGGTCAGTGCCAGTAGGGAACAGAGCATCTAGTGCGATTTCGGAACAGGACATCCAAGCCAAAATCCTATTGAGGTCCATGGTCGAGTGCGATTTGTGAACAGAGCATCCATGCCCAAAACCCAATTGCCTCCATGGTCTAGTGCGATTTGGGAACAGAGCAAGCATGCCCAAAATCTAATGACGTCCATGGTCTACTGTGATCTGGGAACGGAGCAACCAAATGCTTGTCTGTGTGTGTGTGTGTCTTATCCTTCAGAGAGACTATCGAGATCTTAGTTCTTCATAAAAAGCTCTTCTGAAATCGCTCCGAACTCTATACATATACAGTTGAGGCGTTGTACTTCTGTCTACGAAGTGAAGGAGCTCTATCTCAACTTTATCAACTACTAATGCTTCCTTCATCGAACAAAAATAGCGCCAACTGCATACATAATATATTGTTGTGGTAAAAAAGCTCGGGGGCTACCTGCGGCTGTTTCATGTTGTATTCTGTATTGACGGAAACGAGCCGCAAGGCGCAAAGGGCTCTGCGAAAAGACCATGAGTTCTTCTGCTTTCTGCGAAGGGAAGAAAAGTACATGTGTTCAAGGCACTGAGTTCTCCCAAATCCCACAAAGCATAAAGAGACAAAGAGGCACTTCCATATGTGAAGAGAAGCAAGGCCACCTTTACTTCTAGTAAAGAACGGAAGTAGCAGGTCTGAAATTTCTCGCCGCTTGTAACCGACATACAATTGGAATTGTTACGCGTCCTTCTTGTCTCTCGCATGGCTAGAGATCAATGCCCACAAGCGAAGTGTCTAGGGCTACAATGCAACGTAACCAACAAGACAGCGGTAACAACTAAAATCTCTCACGATCGAACGCTGTCAACAGAATTTCTGGCAGGAAGAAAATGAGCTCTCTGCTGAGTCGAGGAGGAGAAGAGCAGTTGTTCTGCTCATTGTGCACGATGTAAGAAAGCTCCACATATGTGCGTTCAATTGCTGTGAAATCAATTTAAAACATGGTCAAGCTCGGTTCCTTTCCGACACACAAGGAGATGTAGACGTGCTCTCACATGTCGTCTAGGATAGGAAGGATTTATCTTGATCGGAATTGACAGATTGCGAGTTCTGCTGAAAGAACCATGAACTAGCAGCAAACAAAAAGCAACTGTCTGCAGCACCTGCCATTCGGGAGGCTTCCCGAAAGTGTCTTCCCGCAGGCCACAGTACTTGTACCGCCCATAGCCCCTTTGCCAGGCCACCTCCTTGGAAAGTCTTTTGCGCCCGATCCAATAACTGAAGTGCCGGTCAGGGACCTACTCCCACGAACCTGGAATCCGAACACCCTCGGTTCAAAGCCCATTCTCCAGCAGCGCAGAACACCTTATATTACATACATACGAAAGGACAAGGCGCTGCACTGCTCGGTTCGCTTTCGGTCAACTGGCGTGCTCGCCTGCATTTTTGGATCGGCAGAGCGCTGTAGCGCAAATCCTTCCTCTGCGAATCCAATAACCAACGTTCTGAGTACACACACAGCTGTCGCACGACTGGACACCGATTGCAGCAAGGACGTAGTCACTTATGCAAACGGAGGGCGGCAACAGAAATAACTACTAACATTAACATGCCTATATAATGGTCCGCACCAGTGGAATTCGCAGGAATGCATCCGTGGACAGACAATTGCTTTGTTGTTCTGTTTTGCGGCCTACTGTCTGGTTTGAATCCCGACTCGAAGCGGAGCAGTTGGGAGGCCATTCTGAACTTCACTTTACAACCAGAATGCGAACTCGAGACCTTCCCAAAGCTCCCGACCCATTGCTCAATTTCTCAACGACAAGGCTTTTTTCACTTCGCGTAGCCGATTGTGTGTTCGTAGCAACTCCATGTCTCAAGACAGTGCGTGAAGTTGCATGGGCTGTACAGCTACGTTCAACACGAGTCAGACGCACTGCAAGGAAGGCTTGCTGTAGGGATGGCATAGATACACCATGAATGTGAAGACACTATCTCTGCATGCCTACCGCAAGCCATGCAGTGAAAAGATGAAGAAGGTGCAAGTTGTCGACCGTGCCTTTGGGGTCGTGGTCGTCGTGCTCGTATACCTGAAAAGCGAGAATGGGGAGAACGAGAAGAATGAGGAGCGAGAGTAGGGAGAGTGACGCGGGTAAGGAGTGAAGACGCTGCTACGGCCGAGACCTGCTGCGCAGGTCTCGGCCGTAGCAGCTTCCTCCTCTCCGTCCTCATCCTCCACCTTGACCTCCACTGTTCCAGCAGAAGCCGCTCCCGAAACTCGCTGTAACAGCTGGCGTTCTGGTTCTTCAAAACCTCGTTCTCGGCTTCTGCTTTCGCTAACCGCACGGCCATCTCCAGCTCCTTCTCGTGCCTTTCCTTGGCCTCGGCTTGTTCCTTCTCGTGCTTTTCTTTAGCCTCGGCCTTCTCTTTCTCGTGCTTCTTCTCTTGTCTCTCCAGCTCCCGTATGTGAGCCGCCGCAAACTGTTGAGCTACGACTCCCACGGCCAGGTTGCAAGCCGCGGCGGCCACAGGGCCCATTTGCTGCTCCGTAGCCTCCCTCTTGACCCTCGGTGCCACTTGCAGCAACTGAAGATCGAGGTTCTGAGGAGCAGCATTGCGAACTAGTGCAGAGGCTGCCTCGGTAGCCATAGCAGCATCTGCAGTTGCATTCGGAGAAACTGGAGCCTCCAGCTTCACGCTAGCCGCTGCAGTGCTAAACTCCGTGATGTCTCCCGGCTGCGTTATGTCCGAGTCGCTCCACAAACCTCTCCCGGAGGCGTCGTCTGGCTAGCCATCCGCGGAGTCGCCTCGCCAGCTACCTCAGGAGTCATCTCATCCTCGACATTGACGTCTCCGCCTGCAGACTGTGACGTCACATGCTCTCCCACCTGCTGTGTGGTGAGCTCTCTTGCAGATGGCTCCTCCTCTTCAGATTCACCGGCAGGCCTTGACAGTACCTGGACGCTCAGACCCAGGTCCATCAACTGTCTCTGCTTCTCCTGTTGGGTAGCCTCTCCGGCTTCTCTGACTAAGGCAGTGTCCTGAGCAGCATCCCGCAATTGCTGCGCCATGAGGACGACGACACTACACTGATGGCACCTGCCTACCGCAGTCAGCCAAGATCTCGCAGGTTGCTCAAGCTGACATGAACACAACGCGTCGCAGAAGAGCTTCCTCACTTGCCAAGGTCTGCCATTCTAAAAGGCGGTGGTATTAACATCAGGGCACCCCTGGTATGCCAAAAGCTCCGAAGCAAGCCGAAACCCCATGGCTGTCGACACACCTCCTCTACTGTGGGCCGTGGGCCTTCGGCAGCACAGCCAGGACGGCAAACGAGATCGCTGCACTTCGGGTTCGGATTTCGAGCCGGTGCACTTCCTGCAAAAGGCGCACCAAGCAAATAGCAGCCCAGCACCGGTAAAGTACAAAGCTTGGATGCCTGGAGGGGCTGGCAGCTGTCTCTGCATTCGCGCTGGCCAAGCCCTGCCAGTTTTTAAACAGGCACGCTTGAAAGTGAAGTATGCGCTTTCACTTCTCCCTCGCGCCTCGGAGGGACGGGGTTCATTGCACACACAGCACAGGTCCATGGCGCTCCGAGAGGCTGAGAACCACAAGCGGACAAGCGGGAGCGGTGCACAAGCCCTGCATACGCTGCTCGGTTCTGCTGGACGGACTACGTACGAGACCTCGGACGTTGCCTGAGCTTTCAACTCCGCGTTCAAAGCCTCAACTTCGGCCGAGTCGTTGAAGAAATCGTCGTTGTCCTCCTGGCACGAATGAAATTCGCAAGAAACAGGCGTAACAACACTCTGAACACTCACTTCGCACGGGTACGCGAAAGGGACAGCAGGTGCTTCCGGAGCCAATTTTCACGCCATGACCTGCTCTTTGTCACCTTCAGCCACTTGCTCTTGTGAGCGCTCGGCAGCAGTATCACCTGGTCCACCATTGGCTGGCCCTCGCTTCGTTGCGGACCATGGCACGGGAGAAAAAATGTCACAGGGTTGAGCCTCGCAATGTGGTACATTCGAACTCGCAGCACGTCGGATTTGCAGCGCTAGAAAGAAAACCGAAGAGCCGGCCATCTTTTGGTCTGGCAGTTGCGGCTGCGAGTTCCTGGCCTACTAGCTTTTGCTGGCGCTTCGGCAAGCTTCCGAATGGCTCAGGCTCGTCAGCGTGCTCCTTAGACCGCAAGAGGACTTCCCCCCCCCCCTAAGGGCAATCCCAGACAACGAAGACCAAGCAAGGCACCAAGCTTCTGCCTTAGCAGTCGGCAATCGATGAAACGCCTGGCTGTGAGCTTCAAGCGTAGAAAAAGCTTTGCTGGGCTCCGTGCTGTGGAGTCGTCGACGGACTGGCATCCAAAGATCTTAGCCTAACAATTTCCAAGACATGCCAGTGCATCTGAAACGGCCTAGCACAAGGCACAGCCAAACTAATATATCTAGGGCAACAGCAACTAGAACGCTACTCTTCTAACATACCTTAGGGCTGCGCTTCACAATCATGAAAGCAGGCCATGGCGAAACTGAACAAGATGCTTCGTCACTAGTCTCACACTCGGCACAGCTAGGAAAGGATTCGCATCCCGAGTCTCAACAACTGCTTCACGCTTCACACAGGGCTCAGATATCAGTCAGCCTGGCAAGCCAAAACTAAACCGCACGGACAGGGCTCCACCTTGGATACTCGGTGTTATGTAGGTGAGCAAAACTAAAACCAACCTGCTGAAACTCCTCTTGTGGAAGCAGCCCTGCACAGCCAGAGAAACGACTTCGCTGCATTGACGACTGGCGGAGGGAGGTTGACAACCCCCCTGCCGGCAGCCGGCTGGGTTCCTGACTGTCGGACTCTGTCTTTTCCAACCGATTCTTGCCACCACTCAGCGGCCATGACACTCTGAAGCACGCCTCCATCAGCACGATGTGATGCGGTGTCGTAGGTCTTGGGCGGAAAATACAAGTAGTCAGCTTCGTCATCGCTGAGAATCTCCTCACAGCTGAGCCTTCACGAACCTTGTATAAATCGACCACAGACCGATTAAGCTTGAATCAAGCCATGAAACTTCCCTGAAAAGATTTGTGCTATTGCTTGCTCAGTGTGACATGTCATGAGGCTATGAGGCTGCCCGACTCCAAAATGATTGACTTCAAACCTCACCCCGCCGGGTAACTAAGACTCGCCTTTTCATAAATGCGCCTCACATTAAGTCAAAACCCTCCCGTCCATGAAACAGCTCCGTGCATTCATCGAAATGTTTTGGGGTCGTTGTTTCTCTCCCTAGCTCTCAGTAAACCTCGGTCGCCCAGATTCCGGCTGCGGCTATCCTTGTGGATGCTTGGCCTTTGAAGGTCGTCGTGACAGACTCTTCGAGGTTATTGTTTCACAATTGTCGACATTGCACGCTTGCCTTCTGAAATTTGTTCTGGCAGCTGCCATGTGTGCATTCATCTAGTGGCCACCCCAGCTCGTACGAGTCATGCTTCCGTAGCACACACACACACACACACTCCGCTCCTCAGACGAGCTGGAATCAGAATCTTGCCAGCGTTGGAAGCAGCAGCACCACCTTTCGGTACCCGCAGCTTGTGCAAGAGGTCAGCAGCGGGAACGGCAACAAGCCCAAAAAAAGCACTCCTCTGCCTGCTCATGACGGGCCAGCTGCAGAACTGTAGTCAGTCCATCGCAAATGTGAGTGGCTTGTGCCCCTGGTGATAGTGATCCTGGTGATCGTGAAACTGACTGATAGTGTCTCCCAAACGGCTTGCTACAGCTGTGATCCAGGGGTGCACGTCAGCATGCCTTCGCGTTACAACGCAGACAAGCACTTTCTCACCTAACTAAGTCTCTGCGACTTGGGCAAGCTACGTGGAGAAAGGATGCAAGGGCCCCCAAGGCAGCGAATGCAGCTGCACCCTGTAATCCCTGCACGTCAAGCGCGGCGTTGCGACCCCGAAGCCAAGTCGTTTCATGAAGCTGGAGGACGAACCACCTCCTGCAAAGCTTTCGTTCTGCTTGCGCATACAATGCTCCTCATCTGGCAGTGTCTCCTCCTCGTGTGGTCCCGGAGCTCTTCGGTAACTGGAAAGGAAGCGGGCTGAGTTCGCCATCATCCTCCTCGTCTTCATCATCATCGTCGCCCCTGGGAATTGCCACACATCCAGAAAACACAGGGCTGCAGACCGGGAAAACGAGGCGCCGACCAGACAGAGTGCAGCTGCATGTCTTCACTGGCTCCCTCGTTGCTGTCTTGCGTTCCCTGTGTGTCCAGCGTGTCCTGGCTGTTCTCCTGCGGAAGTTCCTGGCTGTCCTCACCCTCCGGAAAGCTCTCGGCTTGGAACTGCAGCCTCGGCCGGAAGATTCATCGCAAATGTGACGAGTAGACATGAGGCACAACTCGACTGCTTCACAAACCGCACCGAGGCACATTGCGTGTGTCAAGCGCCGCTGGGCCGTGCTGACTGCTTTGTGCATCTTGCTGATGTTTTCGATCTAGGAACGAGCAAGAACGAGGAGGGACCTACAGTCTCCCTATGAAGTCTCGAGAAAAGCATTGGAGGACCTGAGCCTGCTGCGATTTTTATTGACTTTTCGCTAACCACCTGGCAGCTGTGGGCAGCTGGCGCGGGCCATCAAAACGTCGTAAGCGTGTCGCACCGTCTTGCGCCACTGGCCAATTTCTTTCCCTTGTTCTTCTGCCAACTGGGCGACACAAAGCAAGCACTGCCTGCACTGTTTGCAGAGACTTTCCGGGCGCTCGGGGTCGTGCACTTTTTGCTTGAACCCGCATGGAGATAATTCGCCGCCTGCTCCCCAACAAGGCAAGGCCGCAAGGCCAAGGTCGTGCGGTTTTTGTGTCCCCTCCCCTCTTTGAGCGTGGCTGGGCATCCTCCCAGAGGCGTTGGTAAGCCTCGGTAACACGCCAGTCCGTGGAGTTGGGAGATGCGCCCAAAAAACGACTGATGCACTGGCTGACCGCTTCTTCTTCTTCTTTTTCACCGGAGTCCTTAGCGGCACGACCAAAGACTCTGAGCACTTCCTGGCTTAAACACAGTCTCAAAAAATTGGTATGTGGCAGCTTGATTTTTTCCTGGACTTCGCGTATGGCCTGCTCCCCTTGGAATTGCACGCAGGCTGTCCAGCTCCATGTCACACATGTCGATCAGTCCTCCAACTTCCTGGAGCTTTTCTGTAAGGACTTGGACCTCCAGCTTGCAAGCGGCTGGGACGTCTGGGAGTCTCAGCCTTGCGGCGGCAATTGCACCTGCTGGTTCAACTCTGCGATCCTGTTCTCTAGATCGATCTTCTCCTCAGAACGTAGCAAGACGGATCGTGAAGTGTGTCAAGCCCATATACTTACAAGCACGCCATGTACAGCGATGAGAAATCACACCATATCACGCAGCTGAGAAGCGTCTTCCAGCGCCGTGCACTTGTCCTTCCACCCACCGTCGCGCGCAGCAGGAGCCGCGACTTTTTCCTTCTCTTTCTCGACCGTGACAACTCGCGTCACTGTCCGCACTTCAGTGCCTCAGAACCAATGCAAAGACGGAGATTCCGAAGATACCAGCATCGTGGACCAAGTCCCTGTGTCCCCGGCTATCCTTGGATGGACTTACCTCGGAGGCCCTAATGTGGGTGTCAGTGCAGCCCATAATGCCGACGTCCCCGCCTTCGATTCAGTTCTCTCGGCAAGCGCGGCCTTGCAGGGCGTACATGAAGACATGCTCCGCGTGCCCGTGTGGCCCATTTCGTCGTAGGCTTGCCTGCGCTTGCTGGGCCTGCACAATGCAACAACTCCGCACAAATAAATGAACTGTTCAGGCTCCGTGAGGCTGTCCGTCCACTTTTTCTCGACACAGGTAGCGTGTGCGAACGGTGGCCACGTCCATCGCATGAAGCGTATCAGGGCAGCCTGCGCAGGAAAGTCTGAGGCATGCGGACCGAAAAACGAAACAGCAGGACTGCTTCAGAGATCCTCATGAGTCTTGGAGTCTTTTGGCTTGCGGCCGGTCGCTTACGATCCTTTCCACTTGATGGCAAGGAATAAATGCTGAACATGTGCCCCGTGAATCTGACACTCGATCAAGCCCAGATCGACATTGGCAGATTCAGAGGACAAGAGCTATCTTTTAACGCTACATGATCGCCAGCAGGCACTGTTGGCCCTTGCAACTCTGAAACACTACCAAAAACTGTTGGTCTTCATGTCATGGGCTTACAGTCTAATACGAGAGATGCAGATTACTGGCATGGCACCGTTGCAGATCTGCGTGGCTCGCGGCAGTTGTCTCGCTTGGCTAGAACTGTGGCTGCGCCGCGTGCCAAACAGTCCGAAAAAGGCCGACGACACTCCTCCCTTAGGAGAACGACTTCCCATGTTCTGGGTTTGACTGAATGGTTTTCCACCACATCACTCGTCCAGTCCAGATGCCTAAATAGGAAGCCATCGTTTGGACACATGGGGACCCATGGGCCCGCGCCTGGCTATGGTTGAAACGGGTTGACCGGGCGGACACAAATGATGGCTTCCATCGGGCATCAGTCGCTTCGACATAGAATTTGTGAAACAGCTTGGCCATGACTG